GAAGCCAATGTTGGATCAGGCCAATGGCCCATCCAGTCCAACAGCAGGTCCCAGTCTTTCCCTGCTGGCTGGGGGTTCTCATCTCTGCTGGACGAGGCGCCTTCTGGCGATGCTCCCAGTGGGAGGGCTCGAGGCTACTTGGAGCGCGCTCCCCCCCTCTTGCAGGGGTTTCAGTCATCCTCCTCTCAGGAAGCTTGGTTGATGGAGGTGTTAGGACCTTGGGGCAGAAAGCGGCATAATGGCCCGGCTCCCCACAGCGCAGGCAGAGACCCAGCTTCATCCACTGCTTGCGCACCGGCTCCTTCGCCTTGCCCTTGGGGCCCTTTATTGGAGCCCCTGGCGTTTGGGGGTAGGCGTTTGGGGTCAGGAGCAATGCTCCCTCTAAGCTGTGGAGTCTTGTGAGCAAAAATTCTACTTTGTGATCTACTGGCATTAAAGTTGTGAGCAAGCAATTTGGCTACTGCATAAACTAGTTTGCTCTGGAGCCATCCTTCCTGAGCTAAAACAAAAATGTGTGAGCTGGAGGCTAAAAACCTGTGAGCTAGCTCACAATAACTCAGCTTAGAGGGAACACTGGTCAGGAGTTTGATTATCTGCAGGCGATTTTCTGCTTCCCCTACCTCACACACCCAACCTACCAAAGTTAAGGGATTCACACTCCAGAGCACGTTCTCCAAGATCGATGGATCCAGCCCCAGTCGATACTGCTCCACCAGCACAGCCTCGAGCCAACCCTGGATCTTAGCTGCATACATCTTGAACTCATCTGAGTACTCACGCACCGACCGGTTGCCCTGTTTCAGGGCCCGCAATTTCATGCATGTCTTCTCAACTTCCATTGGGTCCTTGTATTGCTGCTGCAAAGCCCACACGAAGGCTTGCACATCACGGAGTTCGGGCCCCCGAAGATTGTGCAGTGTGACATACCAGTTGGCTGCTCGCTCTCGTAACCGGGAACCCATATAGTCTACCCGATGCTTGTCCGATGGGTAGAGATGACCCCAGTCTCGTAGAAACGTGCTCTCTTGTAGCATGAAAAGGGCGTGTTTCTCAGGGCTCCCATCAAATGTGACATCCAGCAGCTCCTTGGGTCGTTCCAACACTGGAGCCACAGGCGGTTGCCCTGGTGCCCCAGGAACTTGGGCTGGGGCGGGCACCTGCTGCTGCCCCGGGGCGCCTGTGGGCGCAGGTGGCTGTTGCAATCGCAGCTCTTGCTGAACCATCATTGCGATCAGACAGGGCAAATCCAGCATCATCTCCTGCCGGAGCTCTTCGAATTGGTCTTGCAACTGGAGGCTCCCACTTTCCAACGGCTTCTCCGCCCTCTCTTCCAGCCGTGCCTGTTCCTGGAACCTCTCTCTGGGACAGGGGTAGTCATACTAGCTGATGCTGCAAAACCGGGGGGTAGTCACCCACATCTCTCGGATCTCGGTGGAAAAAAATTAGCCCACGAGTACACGTCCCACCGTGGCTTCTCCTCTCCCCAAGGCCTGGTAGTGGCTGGAATCTTTATCGTAATGAGACTCTCTTCAGCTGTAGTAGTCGGGACGCCCCCGCCATCCTCGGTGCTCATGGTGAGGTACAAGGGTCAGGGACTATGAGGTGTTCTGACACTCTGTCAGAGTCTTGCAGCAATCAGGAATCAATGGCCCCTGTCACACTGGGGGGAAAGGCACGGCTAAAGTGCGGCTTTTTGAGCCGCATCAAAAGAGAAGTGTGGTGGTGGGATCAGACAGACCCCCCCATCCGCCGCACAGGTCCTCCCCGGCACGATCAGATGCCGGGAGGAAGCCACGGACTGGAGAGCAAAGCAAGCCCGCTGCGCATGCGTGTGCATGCACAGTTCGGCAGGACCTCGCATGCTGCGGGAGAGACAGGCGCGCCGGCGATCAGATGGCCGTCCCTGCAGTGGATTTTCCGGTAAGTACTAGTGTTTTCTAGGGTTTTTTAAAATCCGCATCTTCGGCCGGAAGAGACGGATAGGGGACGGGTGTGCGCCGCTTCCCAAATGTTGCGGTGTGATCGCGCCAGCTTGATGCGCCCCCGATCCGTCCCTCTTGCGGATCTAATCCTCCGGTGTGACAAGGACCAATAAAAGGCTTTCAAAGAAGATTCAGTTTATTGTTCCAGTATAGGCAAGTCATCCATACACATTCAGTGTCAGAACGAATTCAAAAAGAAGGAAAGGGTCATTTATACCTGGTTCAAAGCGGGGTCTCCTGATAGCTCAAATCCACTAAGGGAAGAAGCCTTTGCGCACCAAAAACTAGCGGGTTCACATTCCAAGGGAAAGCAGTGCAGCAGACACCAAGGTCAAACAGCAATAAAAGGAATACTGAGAATCGAAACGAAACATACCAAACCTGGAAGGAGACACAAATCAACCACCTCCCCCTCCACCAGCCACAATGGCAGCATAACTGACAGTTAAATCAGTTCTCAACACCACTCACTTTGAAGAAATTTTTGTTTATGGAGATGTTGAAGAATACCATACTGATCACGAGCTTTGTTAGGACTGGAGTTGAAAGCGCGGAGATTGCAGATATATTGTGTTCAAGCAAAGGCACTAAATATCAGGACCCAATCACCCCACGGCATTTGCCCGCCAGAAATAATGGTCAACAACCTCCCCACTAAGTACGTACCCCTCTACAGAAATAAAGCAAAAAAACAGGTCTCAGTGACAGTGTCTGATACATCAAAGCATTTAGGAAAATGAAAGCATTTGGTATTCACACCCCTCTCCCCCTCCTCCTTCCGCTATGGCAGGCGAACCATAAAATGCCTACTGAGCCCGAACGTACCGCCCCCACAAGACCCCTCACCCCTTCGGCTTTTGAAGGTATTTGTTATGAAATGCACGGGTCAGAGAGGGGGCTCTAACGTGTTCACATTTCACCCACTCATTATGCAATTCATCAAAGTCCTTCCATTTAATCAAGTAGTACAGATGGTTCTGTTTCAACTTAGAATCGAGGATCTTTTCCACCTCCTGGTGGGGTTCACCATCTACCATTAGAGGAGGTGGAGCAGCTGGATGAGGCCTCCACTTGTTCGGGTCCGGATCTCTTTTTAGTAAACTGAAATTAAATACAGGGTGAATATGCCTCAAAAACCTGGGTAAATCAAGTTCCACAGCCACTTTCTTCAAGACCCTCAACACCTTGAATGGCCCAATATACTCCCACCCCAATTTCCTCCCTAGTTGGAGCCAGTTCGGATGTTTTGTGGAGAGGTACACTGAGTCCCCAGGTTGCAACTCCCATTCAGGAGCTCTCCCTTTATCAGCTTGCTTTTTGTAGTCCTCTTTCGCCTTTCTCAGAGTCTCTTGGATCGTGGACCATCGAACCTTTAGGTCCCCCTACCACGATTGCAAATCTCCCTGTTTGGGCTCCTGAGGGAGTGGGGCCCCTTCATATCTGTGCACAGCCTTAAGGGGGGAGAGGCCAATGGCACTGTGCACTGAGTTATTATAACTGTATTCCACATAAGGGAGGAGGTTGACCCAGTTGTCCTGCTGGTAATTAGTGAAGCAGTAGAGGAATTCCTCTACCACTTGATTCACCCTCTCAGTCTGCCCGTCTGTCTCTGGGTGATGGGAGCTGCTGAGACCTTGTTCTACCCATGACACCTGCAGCAGTTCCTTCCAGAACTTAGCAATGAACTGCGACCCCCGGTCTGAAATGATCCTGCGGGGGAGGGAATGCAGCCTCACAATGTGGTGCATGAAAAGCTTGGCTAGTGACTTGGCCGAGGGCAGTTGTTTACAAGGAATAAAATGTGCCTGCTTGGAGCACGTGTCAACCACCACCCAAATCGCTGTTTTACCTTTATTGGATGGTAGACCATTTATAAAGTCCACAGAAATCACTGCCCATGGTCTCTCTGGGGTTTTAGGGGTTCTAAGGTCCCAGGGAACTTTCCTGGCCTCCGTTTCCCCATTAGGCAGGCCTGACAGGAACCCATATATTGTGAAATATTTGCCCTCATACGTGGCCACCAGAATTGCCTTTGAAGGAGGTGCAGGGTTTTCAGATATCTATAATGCCCCACCAGTTTATTTTCATGCCGCCAAGTCAGGATTTCAGTGTCTGATACACCAAAGCATTTAGGAAAATGAAAGCATTTGGTATTCACACCCCTCTCTCCCGCTCCTTCCTCTATGGCTGGTGAACCATAAAATGCATACTGTTCTCAAAGGTTAAGGAATGGTAGAGGGAAAGGAATGGTGGCTCCAAAGCATAACAAAACCTGGGTGGTTTGCAGATTGCACTGTCTAAATTCTCTATTCCATAACAGTTCAAGCAGTGTGATAAAAAGTCTTCCATAGGACTGGAAAAAGGAGAACAGAAATACAGACGTAAAAATATGACTACCTATTCAATCAATTTCTATCTTAATGTCCATGTCAAAGATTAGCAAAGTACAGATAGCAAAAATATCCCGCAATCTAAAATCAGATGATGTACATAAAACCAAACATACAGAAGGGGACATTTGGTTTACTTCAAATATTTGTCTTGTTTCACATTTAACCTGTAAGAAATGTGGTGAGCCTTGAAAAGGCTCTCTACAGAAACTGCAATTAAAGCTAGGAGGGTAACAGTTGTCTCAAAAAGCAAGAAAAATACACATGCCTTTTTAACAGCCAAGAAAAACTGCAATTTATTAAGTTTCAAAGAATTTTCGTACTCTTGAATGCAACTTCCGGTGCATGTTTTTAACAATCACATTCTATGAGGAGAAATAACATTAATAGCCACAAACTTGTTTTTCCTTTTCATCTCAGAGTTACAGACATCTTAAATCTAAAATGAAAGGCCCAAAAAAAATCAACAGGATTTTTTTTTTTAACTTCCATCCCAAATTTTAAATGATTGGGAGTTTGTTTTTTAAATTCCTACAACTCATTGCTAAACTTCAGCGTGGAAAATTGTATTGACTATTTCAATTTGCACATAGGCACATATGTATTTTATATATAAATATAATGTGTGTGTTTGTATAGAGATATATATATACACAATACATATGTAGAGTGCGTGTAATGAAAATGTGATGCAATCACTCTGAGAAAAGGGTATTCAGCTAAATACACTACAAAAAACTTGAGAAAACACAAGTCTGGAACCCAATCTGTGCATAGTTCATGATCCTCTAGAAAACCAGCTTTTGTTGATTTGCAATCTTGCAGGACCCTTTTTAATTGGACAATGCTATTAAAAAGCTAATCTTTAACAAAAAAAAAAGTAATGCACAAGTTTCCTGATCCAAGCAGGCAGGGAGCACAATGTTCATATAATTTTTAAAAACATACTCAAAGGGGTATGTTATTCAATTGTCTTTCTTCCTTTCAAAACAATCAAAAACATTGATCATTTTTAAACATAAAGCAATTTTTAATATATAAAGCACTCTTCAAACATCTATTTTTTGAGTCCATTATTTGGTAAATATGTAACTGCTACACATTAGATTAGGTATTTTTCTTCTTCTCTTACTGTCTTTTTATTTTTTTCCATTTTGTTTTTTAATAACATCTTCAGTGCTAGGAGTTGGGTTTAAAAAATACATGAAATGGTGTGGAGTTGCTCCTCGGGAAACCCGGCTTTCCTGAGACATCTTCCACCATGTGCAAGATAGTGATCACAACATTTTTTTCGCCACTTTGACGAAGAGGAGGAAAAAACAACAAAAAAGAATACACAGCAATGGCCAAAGAAAAGGATAAACAACAAGAACAACAAGAACAAGAACAAACAACACTGTTTCAATCCCAGAGCTCTGAAGTAGCATATCTTCATTCTGAAAATAGGTTTCTTTATGATGGAAGTCTATTTTTTTTCTTTTTTTATTCCTTTTTTTATTTTAAAGTTTGAAGGAGGAAAAAAAAGTCTGTAAACAGGTGAGAGCCGAAAACGTAGGCTCCTCCAAAAGCAGTCAAAACCTATGTCCAAGTGCTTGTTTCCGTTACGGCTTGCAGGGAACCATCCACTCTTTACAAGTATTTATGGCCACAGTTCAACACAAGTTTTTTTTTTCCTTTTTTTTTTAAACTTTATATTCCGAATGGAAAAAATGGTGCAATACTCCGGTAATTATTTCTTTGCATTAGTCCACAATAAAAAGCTGCTAAAGGTAGATATACATATTATTCTCCAGAGATACACACTGTAAGTTTTTAAAATGCGGCAAAAGTCCTTGAGTAAACATTTACACGTGAATTGTCGCCAGCCCCTCCTATCAGTTTTTTTCTCCTTTTTTTTCTTAAAAAACAAGTAGGATTAGCTACAAGAGGGCTGTGGACACTCAGTGCAAAGTTAGAAACTAGTAACAATTAAACGTTTGACCAATGAGCAAATCAAAAGCATATTCTGAGAAGGAAAAGAAAACAACAACAACACCATTTTGTTAAATCGTACAACTGGCGCACGCACACCCCCATTTGCTCACACATCGATCTATCTTTTCCCCAATGCATACATATAAGAGAAAAAAAATATTTTTTTTCCTAGAGCCTGTTCTTTTGTTTTCTGATACCAACCTGGAAGTGTAATAATAGAAAGTGTTCACATTTTGTTATTGGCCTGCTGGATTCAAGTATAGTTGCATGTTTGATATGGTTTTTTTTCCCCTAAACCATTTTACTATTTTTGAGGGGGAATTTCAAAAAACAATGACACAAAAAAGTAATGAAACAAATGTGATGTGCATAGGCAAGATCCATGGGAGCAATAGACAGAGATATTCCACCCCACCACTCAATCCAAGTTGTACAGCTAAGGGTGAAGATTTGCTTCCCAATGCTGCTGCTGGGCTGATCAGTTGCCACCCCCTTGTGATTAATGGATCCGCCTCTGGTAATGTGCATAATTATCACAGGCTCATTTTAAATAGGCTTTCTCACATCCCCCCTTCATCCCTCCCCCACTCCCAAAGTTGATAAAATAACCCTTTCCAGCCCAAATTCTGAAAAGTGCCCTTCATGATAGAACTAGTCTAAGCAGCTTTTATATGTCTTTAAAAACACCATACAAACATAAAAACAAAATCAAAAAGCCATTGGAAAAAAAAAAACCTCACATAAATCCTATTATTAGCATGTGACACTGACCAAAGGGAGCCCATACTGTTGCATTAACAGTTCACAAGGACTTCAGCAGAGTTTCATAGTCGATATTGGACAGAGGTACTAAAAAAGGGCTGCCAGTCTGATCTATTAAAGCTGGATTCTTCATGATGCCCTGGACTGGAAAGGGTTACCATTATTTTTCATTTAGTGCTGATGATTGTTACTTCCATTTTGTTTTTCTGGCATCCTAGATGGATTCCCCGCTGAGAAGGTCACCTGGGAGCAGAGTATTCAAAGGCGTTGGGCTTCCGATAACCCTGCCGTCATCAGTGCTGGGTGGACCCCAAAGGCTGCTTGAGTACTGAGGGACCCCACCCCAGAGCAGATCGTTGCTCCCTTTCCCACCCAGGCAGGGGGTATTCCAGTGGCCTGTGTCACTGCGCACCATTCCATGTGAACTGCTTGTAGAGCCCAAACGTGTCTGAGTGGTTCCAGTGTTGGACTGCCAACTGGAGGTGGGAGGCAGTTGCTGGCCTTGTGCTAAGAAACGGTTTACTTCCTCTTCTCCAGCGAATTCAGCCAAGATGGTAGTGTTCCCCAAAACACACCTGGAAATAGAAGGAAAGACACAAGGATACTCAAATCCTGATAGAATGTCCACATCTGTTGCTTATACTACCAAGAATGAAAACTGAGGTGTAAACCTTTATCCTACACATTTATTTAGACTCATATAAGTTTGATGGTAACCAGGGATCATTTCATTAAAAAGAGGTGTAAGAGCTCATTTGCATAACTCATTTACATATGCCACACCCCCTTGCAAAGGGCAGGCATGCAAGCATGCCTGGGTTCCCTGCCTGATCTTCTCCAGGTGGCCCCGTGGCTGGCAGGGAACCCAGGCATGTTTAAAATGCCTTTCTCTCCCTTCCCCATGTGGGGAAGGAAAAGAAAGGCATTTAACCCCCCCCTTCCCTGAGCTTCTCTGCAAAAGCGGAGAGGCTCAGGGGAAAGGGGGGGCATGTTTGCCCACCTCCCCTTCCCTTCTCCAGCCAGCCTGCCACGGCGGGCTGGCTAGAGAAGGGGAGTGGAGGGCAGGGAACCCAGGCATGTTTAGAATGTCTTTCTCTCCCCAGATGGGGAAGGGAGAGAAAGGCATTTAAATCCCCCCCACTCCCCCGAGTTTCTCTGCAGAAGTGGAGAGGCTCAGGAGAAAGGGGGGGCATGTCTGGAGAAGGGGAGGGCGGGGAGGTAAACATGCCCCCATCTGGGGAAGGGAAAGAAAGGCATTTAAATCCCCCCAGGTGGCGGGGGGCTCTACAGGCCTTCCCTGGCCCATCCGCGTGCGCAGGCGGGCCAGGAATGGCGGCGGGGGGCCCACCCCGGGCTCCTTATTGCTGGAGCACTGCTCTGCCGCACTCCGGCGGGAAATGACCCCTGATGGTAACACTCTGAGCAAAGTCTTTTCATGCAAGAAACCTAAATGACAATTTATTTCCTTCAATTTATATCTTGCCCTCCCCGCAAATTTCTGCACCTCTGTGACTGTCTAATTTATCTTTCTAAACTGCTTTGCCAGAGTGGATGAAATAGGTATTGCTCGAAAGGTATCACAAAGGAAAAACTAATGGACTGCATTTGGAGAACCTGCAACCTCCAATCTAGAAAAGACTCTTCAATGTCCTTTTTCCCTTGGAACTATAAGTGGAACAGTACTGCTTTCACCTGCTGTAAGAAGACATTAATGTCTCTGTGACATCAGCAAACACTGTTTTAATCCCAGACTTATTTGCATACCTAGCAACAATACTTCACACACTAAGGGAAGGAGCAAGGACTACTATGCTTAACTTTGAAAGCAAGGGGCCAAGAAAGAACATCATCATAAAAGAGAGTTCAAAGGTTATCTGGAAACACAAATGAGTGGCACTGCACAGGTTAGGGCCAAACTAGACAAGACAGTGTCCTCATGGCTGCCAGGGGAATACATCTGCCATTTTAAACTGATGTAAAAATGCTGTGAGGGCCCGGAGCCATATGGCTCACACAGTGGGGAGGCTTCAGCTGTTACTCCTCCCCTGCCTGCTTGCAGCTCCACCTCAGGTGGATGGAGTTAGCTCCCATCCACCTCCACAGACAGTGTTGATGAGTATTAGTGGTAGTGACTGAGCTTGGCTGACTCCTCTTCTCCCTGTTGCTGGTGATTCCTGAAGTATATACTTGTCTCAGCCTTCACTGGTCCCTGCTGTTCTACAGGGATGAAACAGATCAGTTCTCTACTAATCTGAGTGGCCAGCTGTTGCTTATTGCAGGGCATGAAGTGTCCTGGTGGATCTTAAGCTTCCAGCCATTCTGCTGATATGGCGATTCAAGTCTCTGCATGGAGCTAGTTAACCTTTTATTCATCCTCTGCCAGCTCTTACGAAGCAGAAAGCAGCACTTTGCTCCATTGGGGAGGGGGGAATTCAGCCTCCTTTTCACACAACTGTCCTCAGCATGATTACTTTTCATGCCTTTTATCCAGTACACCACTTGGAGCATCTGAATGTCAACACTAATTTATTTTAATAGTTATTTAGGTATTGTGTTTATACCAAGCAAGATTGACTTATTACAATTAGAATGCATCACTTTGTCTGGCCCTTAAAATTAAAAAAAAATATGCCGTGAGGGCCCGATCTCTATCAATTCTGCAGTGTGGTGGGCTGGGATGCTATTGTCTCCCCCATCAAGTGCCTAAACAGCTGTATACACCCCCCTGTGGCTGTTTCAGTGTTTGAAAAGGCACAAGGTGGAAGAAACAGGAGTGCTGTGGGTCCAATCAGAATCAGGTCCTTGTGGCATTTTTATATTAGTCTGAAATGGTGCCATCATCCTCATGGCAACCACAAGGATGCTGTCATGTCTGGTTTGCCCTGGGGGAAGGAAGAATACAGGCAAAGGAGCTCCATGGGATAGAAGCATAAGATGCAAGCCCATCTTTTTTAAAGGGGAAGCAGTACAGAAATATTTTGAGAAGGGAAGCTGGGGCTTATCCAGGTACAACTCAAACTAGGGAACAACACAAATGTACAAATGTACACCATGTCCAAAAACTGTGGCCTGGTCTCCTCATTAGATCTTTATGTTTCATCTTAGCATACACAGAAGAGTACAGTGGAAATGAAAGCGAGTGTTTTAAAAGGCCAGTTCTAATTTCACTACCTTTGCTTTCAGAATGGAGGTAAACACTGAACATTTCTGAGATGACAATGAATGAGAGGAAAAGTTTCAAGAGCTCTACTTTTATATTAGATTTGCCAGAGTTTAGGGTTATACCCTGTATCATAAAAATGAGATCAGGCAAGATCACTTAATGGTATGCTTCTCTGTACATTTCACCTTTTTATTATTGATTCTGCTCCAGGCAATTATTACACACACAGAAAACATAAAAGTATCAGAACCATAGCAAATGCTGGCTATATGCATACATATGCAGAGACTTCTGGGCCTTCGCTGCTTCTTCCTTGGAACTGTATCGAACCACAGCATTCCCTTGAGTCAGGTTCAGATGGAATGTAATAAGAGGACCATGCTGCAAGCATAGAGTACGCAGCGTAGAGCCATCAATCTAACAGAAGAAGAATATGAATGTTTAAATTGATTTATTGAGCTTTTTCTTTAAGTAACAGAGGCTGCCATTACTGTCTTCACAAATGTGAGTCAGCCTTTGAAGAAGGTATATGTAAAGTCAAAACAGAACCTTCACAAAATCTAATACAATAGATTGGGTTTTGATCTGCCTTCATGCACCCTACTTACTTTGACACAGTAGGGTGGGGAAAGGAGAGGAGCATATCATATGATGGCAGACTGACTTTACAGGCATTATGACACAGTTGCACTAGTCATCCCTAACTTCTAACACACTGCCTTCTTATACATTCATTCCCTCTGCAGGCTTAATGCATTGGGCTGCTTCTCTCTCTCTGAGCCTTGCTCCCCTGAACAAGCACAGCTGGAACCAGGCTATTTTTAATGTAAGCGAGGAGGTTGGGGAAGGAATGGGAAAGCATTTAAACATGCCTTCTCTCTCTCTTCCCCAGCCTCCTCACTGTGGGGGGAGGGTGGCTGTGAAGGAAAAGGAAGGCATTTAAACATGCCTTCTCTCTCTGTCTTTCCTTCCTTGACCAGTTTAATGGCTGGAAAGCATTTCAGCCTGACAGCGGGCAAGTGCGTTGGCCCCAATGTTTGGCAGAAATGCCTTCCAGCCATTAAACTGGTCAGTTTCACTCTACTTGGAAGTGTGAGGGAGTAAATCTGACCCGTTTAATGGCTGGAAGGAAACATGCCTTCTCTCTCTCTCTCTTTCTCCAGCTTTCCTGTTGTGGCAGGTTGGCTGGGGAAGGAAATGGAAGGCGTGTTTAAATGCCTTCTCACTATTCTTTCCTTCCCCAACCCCCCCCCCCCCAATGGCTACAGCGGGGAGGCTGGGGAATGAAATGGAAGCATTTAAACATTCCTTCTCTCTCTTTCTTCCTATATTGGTATTGCTTCTCAGGAAATTCAGTATTTATGGGGGTCTGATACACCCAAATCTGAAAAATACCATTTTTTTTTCTTGCACACCCCTAATTGGAACAGAACAACAACATAGTAAAACTTTGAAATGCATGAAGAATGAAGAAGTGAATCTAATACTACATACTATTCTGGATGAATGTCATCCTTGTAATCAGTTAACAAAAATGTAAAAGGAACCAATCCTAAATCTACTGCACCAACCAATGAGAGATTTGGATGGGACATTCCCATTGCTCTATAAATGCAATACCATAAGATGCACTGCAGCCAGTTACATGAACAAAAGACTTAGATCAGGGTACCAAATGTTCTCTTCCCAGTATTCCTACTGTTCTAAATGTAGGGTAGGTGAACCATTGGGTAGTGATCACCTGCCTCTCCATCTAGAAGTAATACTCCCCTTCGACGAGAAGCTTGAACAAGAACCTGAGGTAGGATTAATAAGTTCAGGTCAAATTTTAAAAAGAGCCCAATGGGATGTTAATAAATCAAATGAGGCCTATGCCATCTTTTATTTGGACACTTGTCAGAGCCTTATGTTACAACTTTCTAATGAGCCTTCATCTATTAAACAAACAGTGATTTTGGAGCAAGTGTTTCACCTTTTTGACCATTTGTTGTTTAAAAGCGTTACGCAATTAAAGCCACAACCTCCTTTTAGGGAAAAAAATTGGTTTGACAGAGATTGCTATCATGCTTGTAAAGAAATACGTAGAATTTACAGAGCCTACAGGCATACAAACTCTGAGAGTTTATTGGTACATTGATTGATCATAAGAAGCAGCTAAAGCATCTTCCCAGTATTCCAGGTGGGGCCCAGTTCTTTGCTGGATTAATCAATGAGCTTTGCTTACCTGGGGTGTGAGGTTACGGAGGACCAGCCAGCTACTTGTCCTTCCTGAGCTGTCAGTACTCCAGGCTGAGCCTATATCACAGTGAAGGGAAACGTTAGTGACAGCACAATCTAACCAATAGAACAAAGGCTGTACAACATGCAGGTGTGATGGAATGCACTTGTAAAAGCTTAAAAGTGCTGTAAAAACAGGTAAAGGACTGTGAAGGGTTAATTCTTCACAGAGCCAGAAAGTCTTGAGTGACAGGCTGCTCCAAGAGATCTGATTGGTTAGCCTCAGTAGAGTGGAGAAAGACTTCTGAATTGGATGCTGAGAATTCATTCTGAATTCAGCCCTGACTGAGAGCAGTTTAACAGAGAAGAATAACTGGGGAAAGCTGGCAAGAGTAGTGGGTAGTTAGGAGAAGACTGCCATTATGGCCAAGGAAAGGGGATAGATCTTCTAGAAAGAGAATTAATTTTGCTACCCACTTAAAACAGGGAGATAGCTCTAAAGAGTGGAGAGATCCCTGCTCTGGTGTGGTTAGTGACTTCCTTGTGAAATCTTAAGAGTCAATTAAAGCTCAAGTAGTGGTGTGTTTAGCGAAGGGGTTTGGGTACTGGATAGAGTGTCCCAGCCATCTGGAAACCAAAAGAGTCAGTGAATACTCAAAGAAAGTATTCTGTAGTGTTCAGAAGCATTGGAACACAAGCCTCTTATCTTAAAGATCCCAAGTCACTGGGAACAGCTTATGAAAGTTGCAATAGCCTGAAGCATATGAACTAAAGTCTGTGCATACACTGATTTACTTCAGAGTTCTATATTGAGTTAGCACAGAAATTTTACCCCTGATTTCACCTGACCTTTTCTATGTTGAATAAAATATTTTGTTACTTTGGAATTTCAAAATGCCTCAAGTGCTATTTAAGTTAAAGGGGGGGGGGTCTCGATCCTTCCCTCAGGTTTCTGGGCTGAGCCAATATATCATACTGTGAGAGATCTTTTCAGGAAAGAAGAAAGCAGATGACTAGGGTGGCTCAGTTACAACAGGGAAAGAAAAATCAAGGGAAAATCTTGTCTCTGAGGGAGGGAAGTGCACAGAGGTGTCAAACGTGGACACAAACATGAGGAATACAACCGATACAGAGATTTCTAGAAAGTAAATTTGTCAGAATCGTCTCTTGTCCAATTGGGGGTTTTTAATCTGATTTCTGATGTAGTGTTGTTTGGTGTAGTGGTTAAGTGTGCGGACTCTAATCTGGGAGAACTGGGTTTGATTCCCCACTCCTCCACTTGCAGCTGCTGGAAGGCCCTTGGGCAAGCCATAGTTCTGTCAGAGCTGTTCTTGAAAGAGCATTTCTTGAAAAAGCTCTCTCAGCCCCACCTACCTCACAGGGTGTCTGCTATGGGCAGGGGAAGGGAAAGGAGTTTGTAAGCCCCTCTGAGATTCTGAGTGAAGGGCGGGGTATAAATCCAATCTCTTCTTCTTTCTTCCTTGGCAGCTGCTCTTGAACTACACTGGAGATATATAATTCACTGAAGTCTTCATTGATGCTATGTTTTCCTTAACTACTATAGGAGACTTTTAATGGAATAATAGCCAACATATGGCCTTGAGACACTTCTGTATTATTGCTTCTTTGCAATGTCCCTACTTGAATTTGTTTGCAGTTGTGTGAGTTTGAAATAAAGACAGCCTCAAACACAGGAATCTCTAATTTGTTATGTTTTCAGACCTCATGCTGAAAACAGATTCCTGAAAGCAAAATAACGTGTAAGGCACAGAGTTAGTGGAACTAGATTAAGCATCTTTGACATGGCAGCAATTAAAAAAATGCCATACAGATGTCTAAATTCAGGTGTATACTCAAACTGCAGTTAGAATTAGGGAACAATACATAAACATGTTCTTTTTTGAGCTTCATGGGCCTTCTCATTTTGCCAAGTTCTGTTGCTGGTATTATTTTCCCCCCTTTTACACTGTTTCCCATAATTTTAAATGCCATTTTTGAAGCAAAAACAATATTACGTATTGTGCAAATTGGGAAAAACTAGCATGAGGAAACAGAAAATGGCACAAAAATAAAGACTAAAGTGCTCGATTTTTACATGGGAGAAGTGAAATTAAACAGTGACCTTTCAGTTCAAATGGGATGAGGAATTTTGTAGCATCTTGTAATATTTGCTCCTTGGCCACCAGGTGGAGCTCAGAAAAAGTTAACAATGGTTGCATGGGGGGAGGGAGGCCGACAAGAGCATTTTGTTTCCACCTCTGTGGTTAAAAAATGCATTCATTTTTTAAGGAAACATTCTAATTTATCAAAAGAATAATAACACATAATTAGGACAAAGCATAAAATTGGGGAGACACTGATAGTATGAATCACATTGTGCGCAATGTAGGTAACAGATAAACACATCCTTCCAGTGTAATTCACATACAACCTATTAGTCCAGCCTTGCCAATACTGGCCATTGTTTTCCACAGGATTCTGCCTAGTGCTGTACAAGGGGGTCCAAACCCATAACCATAAAAAAACATGAGTAGCCCAAACATTTCTTAAATCATGCCTCAGTGAGTGCTCAGCACTGCCATCCCTTTCTCCTTAGCTGCTTGGATGATCACTTATTCTAATCACAGCCTTCCTGAATCTCTGAAATCTTCAAATACAAGTTTTACTTCTTTTCTAATGCAAACTTCTTATTGAACTCTTTTCTGATGCTCACACATTTTCTAGTACCAGCAACTGTTCCTTTAGAAGGAATTTTAACAGGGGACTATTCCCATTCCCAATTGGGTACTTCAGCGCTGTAATAGAAGTACATAAATTATAGCTCCAAAAAAGATTCTATGTGGCCAGCAATATGTGTGTTGCCACAGTCTGTGCAATCTCCCCTTTTGTGGCAAGGTTCAGATGAACCCTGCTGTGTCAAGACAGCAGCTTCTACCTGCGATAGTAGCATACTGATTAACTCACAGGCTTGTTGCTCCATTACTATGTTTTGTGCTAGAGAAAGATGTGCCACCTGAATTGACCCCGCCAATCCAATTTGGACTAGCAGCAATAACCACGAGTAGTCAACTCTCCACTTCTGCATAGACCTTCATAAACGATCTATAGGATGTTCTTGCTGCTCTTTCACGAGCATGCTGCCACACTTGCTCAAGCCATCTCAACTCTCATTTCATCCTCCGCAGTTCTGGGGTATACTACAGGGCAGCTTTGATCCCAGGGCAGAGAAGGCACTGGGGAGTTATAATGTCAATGGCTTCAGAAAACTGGGAGTACCAGTCCTCTACCAGCGCAAGCAATGAATCATCAGAGGGCACTGGATCCTGCAGAGCAGCCTGAAGCCAATCAGAGTCCATTTGGCTTTGCGGGCGAGCATAAATACGCTTGCCATCTAAACAGGGAGGGTTTAGCATGTCCGGCCTTAGGGCAAAGTAGTCTGACTATGGGACTACATCAGCAGCCATCAGATCCACATTAATCCCCATCCCAAAAATCAAGTCCAGCGTGTGGCCTGCTTGATGCGTGGGGGGCAATATAATTGGGAGAGTCCCAGTGCCTCAATGGATGACACAGGTCCTTGGCCTGAGAAGATGCTGCATCATCAACATGAAGTCCCCCAGGACTAAAAGACTGGGGTGCTCCAATGCCCACCCAGATACCGTATCTAACAGGTAAGGCAGGGCATCCACTGGTGCTTTAGGCAGTTGGTACACCAGCCAGATGGCCAGACTCTCCTCGGCCTCCCATGCCAGGCCAACACATTCAGTGCTGGTGATTTTTGGTGTAGGGAGTGCCCTAAAGGAAAAAGATTTTCGAATGAACAATGTTACACCTCCCCCCTGCCCAGGTGTTCGGGACTGGTGAAGGACTGAGAACCCAGGTGGGGCAAATTGGTTAAGGGCAACAGTTTCGCCCTCCCACACCCAGGTCTCAGTCACACAAGCCAGGTCTATATTTTGCTCTGCAAAAGAGGTCTTATTATTTGTAGACCTGGCATTGAACACCATCAGTGTCGGAGATGGGTAAACATTCCAAGCCCCACAACTGACATTTCTTGGGATGGGACGAAGGAGGGGAGAGGTCTGAGCAATACCACATCTCTGATCCCTTCCATTCCATTCATTGGAATATCTCCTAGCCCCACTGACATATCTCCCCAGCCCCTCTATTACTGGTATCCCGACCCTTGCATGGCCACCCTGCTAAGTTTTATCAGTTCCCAAATGGACCCACCTAGAATCCAACAGGGAACCCAAATACAAGGCTACTTGAGCTCCAACTAACTGCGTCTAAAAAAACGTAGCTCCAACCTAACCCTGCCTCCCTTGACTCAATAACTCAGCACCCCCACAATTCATTTGATTAATCAGCAAAACAATTTCCTACTTTAATTAATCAAATGACCTGATTAATTAATTGACTAAAAATCGAACCAAATCAGCAGGGAAAAAACATTTAAATAGGTTAGGGGACCAAAATTTAATTATCTACTATCTCCCTCCCTCTAACCCCACAGCCCACCCTACTAATAGATTCCCCAATAAATTGATCACTAATGGTAATAATATAGAATATTACCCACAAATCAATTTACAAATTTATCTAGTCAAACAGTCAATCAATTATAAATTTAGGCTATATGTTAAGGCCAAGTTAACGTACGTATTCTATGGGAGCTGGGTTTAAAACAATCAGACCAGCTCCCTTGTTAGTATGCCCTTTCTTGAGCGTGTGATAACCCACCCACCACCCATCCATTCCCTGATGCTAATTGTAATTGGAAGCAGCCGGTACAACTGTGCTTCCATGGTTTTCTGTACCCCGCAAAATCCAAGATTAATATTTTGCTAGTCCAATTATCACTTTCATTTATTCACGATAATGTGAACTGTTTAATGCAAAATCCCTAGTTGCACACAAAAATTCACATGCCACAAAGAAAAGAATTACTAAGAGAAGTAATTATTTTACTGGACTGCATTCTCATGATTGACTGCCTGCATGCCTTAGCTTTGTTACGATGCATCATCCAAAGCAGAAAAATACCATAACCCTTCACATTGATGCAGTCTGTTGGCCCTTCAAGGTCTGACGTTTTCTACATAAGAGAGTCTTGAATACAAAAAAGTGATATGAATAATAAAGTGTTGTACTGTAATAAAATATAGAAGTCAGGAATACCAGAGGAGTAAGAGCTGGTCCAACCCAGTGGGCTGGCACCCCAGGTAGATGATGGCTTGGTGTTTGTTAAGCCTGGAGGTGGTCTTGTAGGAGCAGTAGTGTTTCTGGGTACCTTCCACAGTTCATGAGACAGAGAGGCTTGTGTGTGAGAAACTGGGCCAGAGGACCATGTTGACTTGATGTCTGACAATTTACCTGCAACAGATAAATGCAAATCAGGTACTTGTTAAAAGGTGAAATATACGGATAATCAGCAGTCTCAAGGATTCAAGCCTCATCACTAGTGGATACACAATGTATTCCACAACACTAATAAACACATCACTTAATATATCTGGCAAATTGCCCCTTGTTAACATAACTGTAACTTTTTGCTGTCATAGAATCATAGAGTTGGAAGGGACCATACCGACCATCTAGTCCAACCCCCTGCCCAATGCAGGACCAGCCTAAAGCATCTCTGACAAATATTCATGCAGCCGCTTCTTGAAAGCTGCCAGTGAAGGGGAGCTTACCACCTCACTAGGCAGCTGATTCCACCTTTGAACCACTCTGACTATAAAAAAGTTTTTCCTAATATCCAGCCACTACCTTTCTGCATGTAATTTAAACCTGTTGCTTTAGGTCCTATCCTCTGCTGCCAACTGGAATAGCTCCTTGCCCTCCTCCAAATGACAGTCTTTCAAATATTTAAAGAGAGCAATCATGTCCCCCCTCAATCTCCTCTTCTCCAAACTAAACATTCCCAAGGCCCTTAGCCTTTCCTCGTAGGGCTCAGTCTCTATACCTCTGATCATCCTCGTTGCTCTCTTCTGCACCCTCTCGATTTTGCCCACATCCTTTTTTGAAGTGAGGACTCCAGAACTGCACACGGTACTCAAGGTGTGGCCTGACCAAGGCAGTATACAGAGGGGCTATGACCTCCTGCAATTTCAGTGCTATGCCCCTTTTAATACAACCCAGGACTGAATTTGCCTTTTTTGCCACTGCATCACAATGACTGCTCATATTTAGTTTACAGTCCACTCTTACCCCAAGATCTCTTTTGCATATACTACTCCCTAGAAACGTATCCCCCATCCAGTATTTGTGCTTGACATTTTTGTGGCTCAGCTGTAATACTGTGCATTTATCTTTGTTGAATTGCATCCTGTTCGCAACTGCCCACTTCTCCAGAGTATTCAGGTCTTGTTGAATTTTAACTCTTATCTTCTTGGGTGTTTGCTACTCCTCCCAATTTGGTATCATCAGCAAATTTAATGAGTAGCCCTTCTACCCCTTCATCCAGATCATTGATAAAAATATTGAAAAGTACCTGGCCCAAAACCGAGCCCTGCGGCACCCCACTGGACACCTCCCTCCAATCTGATGAAGCACCATTGACCACCACTCTTTGGGTGTGGTCCTCTAACCAGTTCCCTATCCACCGAACTGTCCTATAGTCCAGTCCACAGTCTTCCAGTTTGCCCATCAGAATGTCATGGGGAACCTTATCAAAAGCTTTACTGAAATCCAGGTAAATCACATCAACAGAGTTCCCACGATCCAGTAAGCTCATCACACAATCAAAGAAGGAAACCAGGTTGGTCTGACAAAATCTGTTGGGGACAAAACCATGCTGACTTCCCCAGATCACTAAGTGGTCCTTCAGATGCTTACAGATCAATCCCTTTAAAATCTGCTCTAATATCTTCCCAGCAACAGAAGTCAGACTGACCGGCCTGTAGTTTCCCAGGTCATCCTTCTTCCCTTTCTTAAAGACTGGGATAACATTCACTCTTCTCCAATCTTGTGGCACATCCCCAGTCCTCCAGGAGGCCTTGAAGATGATGGACAGAGGATCTGCAAGTTCATTAGAAAGTTCTTTGAGCACTCTTGGGTGCACACCATCTGGCTCAGGGGATTTGTATTTGTCCAGTGCAGCCAGGTGCCTCTCCACAACCTCCCTGTCAATTTCAACTGGACACTCAGGTGTCCTGTCATGTCCTCTACCATCTCTAGATGGGCTCGAGTTCTTTTGGGAGAAAAGAGGCAAAAAAGTAATTAAGCCTGTCTGCTTTTTCTCTGTCCTCCACCAGAGTTTCTCCTTCTACTCCCAAAAGCGATCCAATTGCCTCTTTTACCTTCCATTTGCTTCTCACATATCTAGAAGTTTTTCTTATTGTAGCGAGCCCGCCTGACCAGACCCAACTCATACTGAGCTTTGGTTTCTCTGATGACTGATCTGCAGTACCTAGTAACTCTCATATACTCCTCTTTAGAGGTCTGACCTTCCCTCCATTTCCCTTTTCTCCCTTAGCTTATTTTGGAGCTCTCAGTTCATCCACATCGGTTTCTTGGGGCCCTTACCATGTTTCCATCTTGCTGGAATACTGAGGGCTTGAGCTCGCAAAAGCTCATGTTTGAGAAGAGCCCACCCTTCACTCACTCCTTTCCTTACCAGCACACTCCCCCACGGAATGACTCCCATCAAGCCTCTGAAGTCGGCCCTACAAAAATCTAACCTACGAGTCTGGCTACGAACTTTCTTGATCCCCCACAGCAACTGGAATTCAAGGAGGACATGGTCACTTCCCCCTAAGGTCCCCACCACCTCCACCCCATCTACCAATTCTTCCCTGTTTGTTAATATTAAGTCCAGTATGTCTGAGCCCCTTGTAGCTTCCTCCACCATTTGAAAAAGGAAGTTGTCGGCCAGACAGGTCGGAAAGTTGCGTGATTCTTTTCGCTTTGTTGAGCCTGTCTCCCAGCACACATCGGGGAAGTTGAAGTTGGCCATAATTATAAGGTTCTAATGTCTGGATACTCTACCAATCTGTTCAAGGAGGGCAGCATTCATTTCCTGTCCCTAAGTCCTGCGGTCTGTAGCAGACTCTAACAACAACACCCTTTGTACTACTTCCCCTATTTCCACCCATATACTTTCCACGGGGCTGTCAACCACATTCTCAAGAACTTCCTGACAATCTAGCCCTCTCTTCACATACAGCGCCACTCCGCCTCCTCTTCTACCCTTCCATTTTTTCTTGAACAACTCATATCCATCCACTACCACATTCCAGTCATGAGAATCATCCCACCAAGTCTCCTGTGTGATTCCTATTATATCGTAGCCCTCTGTTTGCAAGAGAATCTCAAGCTCTTCCTTATTACCCATACTATGGGCATTGGTATATAGGCACTTGTAGCCTTGTACCTTTGTTTGACCTGTCCTACCCAGGTGGGCCCGCACTGTTTTCACTTATTCATTGAAGTCCCCATGTTGGTCATCCACTTCCCCTTGCGGCTTCAGTTTAAAGCTCTCCTGATTAAGCACTCCAGGTTCTTTCTGAACGTTTTCTTCCCTGACCTTGAGAGGCGAAGCCCATCATGTGCTAGAAGGTCTCCTCTAAGAAAACTTATCACACTAGTCACACTAGTACCATTAATGCAATGCTTTTAAAGCTTCTAAAATTGCTCTTCATGGTCCAGGACAAAACCCTGTTCAATGATATTTCAAGTGCAGATCACCCAGCATCATGACTTAAGAATAAAGTCAAGTGATAGACAGTATGTGCAAGTTTCAGTTACTGAACATGTATTTCATAGTTTTTGCTTCCAAGCAAATAGATCCTCTTCTTCATGAACTACAGGGATTGTCTTGTGTACCTTTTTACTTTATTTAGAAACTAGATTTTGGAAAGCTACTATTTGAGGGAGTGGTGATGGGTAGGTGGATCAGGACCATGATTAACCCCAAACTTGCTTGCTAGCAAGTCCTCTCATTGACACAACTACTGCCCCTACCCCCCCACCCCCAAATATGGCTTAGTTGTACTCTTCTCCCTATGAAGAGAATTGAACTATTCATGCAATCTGTTACTGCAAGCAATGACCTTGTATGTTGTGTAACCAGAGAGCATATCAGGCCATTGCACTGCCTAAAATGGCTGCATGCAGAAACAGTTCCTTCTCCTACCACCTGAAGAAAAAGTATGGCACATGGAAATAAGGAGATGGAAAGTGCATGCAAAATGGTAGTGAGATAGATGAGAAAGAATCTTGCTTCACTCTCTTTCACTGATATACTTACCTCTGCACTCCATCCTGATCTGTTTCAGGCACCATGCAGAAGGGAGAGAAAGGCATCTCACACTCATCTAGTCGGGAAAGGAAGCCAGGCTACTCCCGTTTCAGAGCCCGGCAGCCATTAGCTGCCAGTCATAGCTTATGTTGAATACTAAGCTAAATCAAGAGACTGCAGAAACAGCAGGTTCTTCTACACTAACAGAAAACATTTCCACAAAAATCAACCCTCATAGCACAATATCTATTACTTGAACTTCACATCTATTCCAATATCAGTGGTTCTCTGATCTCTTTTTATCATCACCACAACTACGGTACAAAAATGTGATCTGAAAACTGATTGACACTGACAATGCATGTGTAACGACAGGGGGTTCTCAGTACACTTTCCCCCTCTCTACCTTTAGTTCACCCTCTTTTTGACACAGAGGTTTATGACACCCTCCACTTTAAACACAAATACAAGTTTATTTAAAATAACACCGGGGGACAGGGTTATATTCAGGGAGTCAATCAGTTGTTCAGGCTTCTTTTGTTCCTTTTTCTTCCTTTTAAACTTTGGACTGCTCTTAGGTCTTTTAGTTTTCTTCCAGACCACACCCTTCCTGCACACTCCATCTTTTATATCTCTGTTCTATTGAAGGCTCTCCCACAGTCTAGCATCTCCTTAAACTGCTTCACTTGGTCCCTAGCTAGAACTGTATAACCTTCCCCAACAGGATTTCTTATACAGGAGCACTATGTGTGTCTGAGTTATACACCAGGAGTTTTTCTCATTAAACTCCTCAGCAGCTCACAGGGTCCACACTCTCTCTCCCATCCGAGAACACCCTTTCTCCCCTTCCTTTTCTGGTCAGCCGTTAACCACCTTTTCCAAGCATTTTTTCCTCCCTCCAGTTCAAAACTGAAGATTCCAAAACCATTACGTCTCTCTCTCTCTCTCTCTCTCTCTCTCTCTCTCTCTCTCTGCTTCTCTGGTCATGTGACCACGCAGATGCAGGTTACCTTCCAAGCAGCTGCCTATGCTTGTAAACTTTGCTCTGAAATTAAGCTTTCCATTACAGCATGCAATCCAACTTCAACTTTAGGAATTATTCACCCTTGGATTTCAGTTAGGTCAGTAAAGA